CAGAACGTAGTTTCGGAAATAAACGGTAGATAGCGCTGTCGGCAAGCAGGGATGTCCAGCGCCATCAAGTCGGGCCAAGGCAGTTTCGACGCGAAATTTTATGTTTCCAAGAGTGTACATCAAGTTGCCTGTGGGCGACATGACGCATTTTATGAGGTTTTCTAGTTTTTCGGGTCATGGTTCTAATTTCTTATTCAGTTCAGTCTACCATACACCGCAGCTTTACTCGTATATAGGCACCGCCAAATAGCTATTGACGATATTATATTCTTCGAGTTTAGAGGAAACTGCAGGACTAGTCTTACTCTTCTGTACGCCTTTCGAATTTTCTCCTTCACCGTGCCGTTCGATATGCTATCGTATTCAATGCCCGTTTGGTTGGTTGGTTTAGTACGTTTTACATGGTTCAAGATGTTGCATCAGTGCGTGCATATTATCTTGATTATTCCCTGTCGTTATTCTTTTGTTTCTCTTCATGTTGACTTTTGCCCAGTTGTTAAGACCAAATTTTATGCCGACGCCATTGGTGTTTTCATTTGCCTCTACAACGTTAGTCCTCGCGGTTTAGCTCGTTGGTCAGCGTGCTCGCTTTCCATGACGCGACCTCGGATTCGAGTCCCGGTTGGGCAAGATTAAAGTGTGCCTTTCCTTGCAATGTCTCAGTATATGTTGCCGGGTGTCGAGGAGAAACCTCACTTCTCAGATTGAGAAGACTAGAATACGTCGTAGGGTGTCTTCGTTCTTGCCGCACGTCCCCCTTATGGCCCATGGCCGCAAAGCTGGGACGCTGTTGGTAGGCCCTGGCCCGTTGGCGGGTTGTCGCGGCAAGTACAGACAGACTGCAACATTTGAGTTGAGGTAATAGTTTTATTCCTTAACATATAATTTAAGATCACCCATGAGAAACAAATGTGTTACTGACCTTTCATCAGCACGGTGCTTGTAACCGATGTCAGTGTGCGCCAATTGTCTAAACCAGGGTTGTCCAACTGGCGGCGATTTATTGTGTATTATACCATTTATTGTGGCCCGCAAAAGGTTATTAATCAAAAGTGAAAGTCCCTTGGATTCATGTCGGGCGAGAATATTGGGCGCCTAGCGCACGTGCCCTGCCGGGGTCAAAACTCCTTTTATGCAAAAATATGTTAAGTTTAGATTTAAGGACTTTCTTCTGGTAAATTCATAAATTCAAAATCATCCCAATGTGTTTCACTGCGTTTTTCGTGATAAGGCCTGGCATTACGCATGGTTCCAATCCTCCCCCCCCTTAGTTTGAGAGCAGCGGGGCAAACAGCCGATATCAACAATATAGGGAAGTCAGGTATGGATCGCCCGTGTAATTAAAATATGACCCGCAGCCACTTTGTAGGTATTTGGCCTTTGAGGCCTTTCAAGTTGGACTCCCCTAGTCTAGATGGTGTACAAAAGATTAGAGGGGATAATGAATCTTCTTGATAATATGAGTATTTCGAGTACCTACAGTAGTAGGTCCGCAGTAGCTCTCCGCTGTATAGAAGTGACTGGGTACTCCATGACTTCATACCAATCCTAAAAGAGACAAAAGTCAATAAATCTGGGATGAAATTCATAGATCTCTAGAGTCTTCAGAATCATGTCGTAAGATATATTGGCAAAGGCATTCAAACCATGCTCAGATTACGTTTTCGTTTCCTTCCATAATTTAAATGACTTGGTTGAGAAGTAAGATTTTCTTGCAGCCATGGGAATCTTCATGACATCTTTTCTGTTCAAATAGCAATAGATGGTTCTTTTGTGGATGTCTATATTTTATCAAATATTGCTGTAGTTTTAACTTCACACATTATGAGCAGAAAAATGATTGGTCTATAATTCTCTGGTAACTTTTGGTGTAGCAGATAAATGATACCACGTGTGAGTCACTTTAGAAGTTCCTCTGTTTTTTTGTAAAATTCCATTCGCAGCCTTTCCCAGACGTGTATGTAATACTGTCAATTTCTTATTCCAATAATTCTGAACCTTATCAATACCTCGGGATTTTCACATTCCATTACTGCGTGTATTAAATTCTTCAAAAACTCCTGAAAATGTTTGGCAGTTTCCCAGTAGCTGCTCGTGATCAGACTTTTGGATAGACACCTTACAGAAGAGTAGCGAATCTAGAGGGGCACGTTAGCCATTGCCTGGATCCAATATTTTTAAATTTGTAAGCTGTGAATTATTTATATATGCCATGTTTGTTATTTTAAAATAAAATAATAAATATTTCTTAAATAATAATTACTTTATTTATTAACTTGTCATTTAAACACATGCGAACAATACAAATGTGAATGGAAATTGAAACTCTTGAACAGAATTCTTTTGCGTAGATCCAATCCGTAGCCAGGTCACGTTCTGAAGATTTCGAGGATTTTTCATGAAACTGCCCAACACCTCTGAATCCAAGTTTGCCTAATAAACAACGACAACTGTCACATGTATATCTCCATTAAAAGAAATTGTCCACTACATGATCATCCTACCCCCCCCCCCTCAAATCATTTCTGACCCTTCGACATGCCCTAGAATTTTGTAACGTTTATTCTGATACACCTGTATATTGTCTTGAATAAATTATTTTAAAGATATTCGTATACTTACGTCTGTGAGTCGCCGTCTAGTCTCTATGATGATTTTGTTTGACATAATTTCCTTTCTTGCTTTCAGCAACTTCCAAAGTATACGCATGTGAAGTTCGAAGACGGCATCATTTAGAGAGAAAGGATGGTGGTGGGTTTGATCCTGACGAATATACAGAACATCCGTCCAGGTATCTTTCAACTTTCAGCAAAAAGGTATATTTATGTGAGTTTAGAACTTCATTAAAAAATTAAAAGGATAATTCCAATCACAAGAAAGGGTAAAATCCCTATTGTAAGGATTCGTACAACGGGAATTTTTCCCTTTTCGCGATTGGAATTATCCTTTTAAAATGTATGAAAGTCTATATTTTTTATAAAAATATATGCTTAATTTAACATGTTTTGGTAAGTTCTCTCCCATTTATTTGGTATATTTTGTTCTTACTACTTATATTTCTTCACTTATACTTCATTTTTTAAATAGTTTGATCTCTAATTTCAGTGTAACTTTTAATTCTGATTCTTTCAATTTATTCAATATCTTCAAAATTTGTTTGTCATTTTTTCATATGCGGAGCTAACACGTCAATTATTTATTATTTGTATACATCCTACATACATCAGTAGAGGGGATCGCAGGCACAAAATAAATTTAAGACCGCAGAGAACGGATGTGGGGAAATTTTCTTTTACAAATCGAACGATAAAAAATGGAACACTTTCTCTACAAAAGCCTTTGTACCCTTTCTTCGTAGCGTTCAACAGTTTAGGAAATTAATTTAGGGTATTAGTAAATAAATGAGGGACTTGGCTGACAATGTTAGGTTATAGAGCGATGTGTAAATAATATATTGTGAGGTGTCGTGCAGTGTAGAACAGAGAAATAATGTAGGAAGTGATTAATGGGTCATAGTGAAGTGAAGTGCTGTTGAACAAAAATTCAGTGCGGAGTTTGATTATGATGTTTTTTTAGGTAATTTTAAATGTTTTATGAATTAGACATATTTTATATAATTATTGTTTTTATTAATGTTATTATTATTATTATTATTATTATTATTATTATTATTATTACATAATTTGCATGTTAGCTGTATTATCTTATTTATATAATTAGCTGCCCCCGGGTTATGCCCATTTGCAGTTCAAATAAATTTATCTTATCTTATCTAAAGATGCATGTAAGTAACAGGAACATTGTGTGTAAAATACTTTTGTTTATTAAAAAATCGAAAATTCAGATTTTTCTACAAAAATAAAACCTGTGCCATTATTTAAGCGTTCTTTGCGCTAAATTAGGAAAAAGTTTAATCAAATGTTTGGATACGTTTTTCAGAAAACTTTGAAAATATTGTTATGTGATGACTTGGGTAAAGTACCCCTAAAATTCCAAATATCCGTTTCAAACTTTCAGTGCTTCGTGTTTGTCCAGCGATCGGAGAATAACAATTTTTTATAAAATTTTCTGAATGATTTAGGCGCTAGCGCTATAATTTTACGTGTTGCAAATAATATGAGAGGGACTGCCCTATGTTACAGCACCACTTGTACTTATATTAAGTTTTCATTTGTTTATTTTAAAGATTGCACCTTACGCGTCTGTCATACTGAATGGCATTTATTGGGCGGTGGATTCACCAAAACTACTCACCATTCCTGACGCTAAATATCTCTTACGACCGGCAAATACTCCATGGCTACCATCTTCCGTTGGAGCTCCAGCTCTTCCTCATCGTATGCTGGCGATTTGTGACATCAGTGCAGATCCAGGAGGTTCCATAGAGTTTATGAATGAATGCACGACTATTGATACCCCCTTCTGTTTGTATGACGCAGATAGAAACAAAGATACTAAAAGGTAGTATTGAAAAATAAAATAATTGAAATAAAATTAACGATATATTTCCCACCTTCTGTTGATCTGATTTCGAAAATATTTAGCTTTAAGGGTCCTGGTGTTTTGGTGTGTTCGATTGACAACATGCCTACACAGCTTCCACGTGAATCTACAGATTTCTTTGGAGAGCTTTTATATCCCTATGTATTTGATATACTACAATCAGAAGCCAATACGCCACTAGATCAACATCACTTCACTCCTCCAGTTAACGGCGTAAGTTTTTAGAAGTTTTTTTCTAAATTAAATCATATACACTTATAATATTTTCAGTTATTAGTGTAGTTATCAATATTTATGTTCCAGGCAATAATTGCTAGCAACGGGAAACTTACGCCAAATTTCGAATATATTCAAGAATTAAGAGATATTAATAGGTATGTATACATTCTTTCTTAAATTGCGAACGAAGGTCATAAATGTGCGTTTTACTTTAGTGATTTAATTCAATTTAATACAAAACGCCAGTTTTTTTCAGGTGTCTTTCGACTCCTGCTTCTTGAGGCCCCGCAACACTTAACGCACATGCCTTAATTCGCTCCTGATTGTAGCATCACCAAGTACTTAGATAACTTTCATAACTATAAGTTCTCCGAACACTGAATTCCTTACTTGGTTCTTTAAGATTTAATGGTTTTAACTAAACTTTTTTTAATCGCGAATGTTCTTGTAATTTGTAATATTTGCTCTGTAAAGTCAATAACGTATTGAATTTTGTGTATGCTACTAATGTTTCCTACTAACGTATTCCTTTTAATTATCCGAACCTTATTTCAATAAATTCATTTTATATATTTTTTAAATATAGGACAATCAGATCAATAAAACTATTGTTGTTACATATAAAGTATTATTGTATATACGCACATATACATACAATATCACAGAATGTATCTGCTTCGTCACGATGGATGTTCCCTTCGCATATCTCCTGACCCGTTGTAAATATTGAGACGCAGTATTCGCAAAAACGAGCATATACGATGGGTACATACGATGATGTATAATATTAAACTATAGCTTTAAGAGATATCGATACAACTTTGGTTTTTTAAACGGATTTCTAAGACTGATGTTTCTTTAGCCCATGATAACATGGGTGAAGAGACCGTGTTCATACATATGTATGAACATATGCATGTGTAACATAAGATTTTTTGAGACATTTAGTGTTTCTACGGCCACCTTGACTGGTAATAGAAAAGGTTTTACAAAAAAGAAAATCTAATGTCGAAGTATTAATTGTCGTCAATAAGAAAGTAACTTCAGAAATATGTGTTTTTGCAAGTCGTATATGACTTACTTACAATCGAAAAGAAGTAAAACTAAGAAGTAGTTGGAACGGTAAACCTCCAACAGTACTACCTACATATGTGTATCTTCTATATTTTCTTTTATAAGGATGCAATACATATGAGGGTTGTAATACGTTCTGAAATATGATTGAATCATAATGAAATCTGATTGTTTTATATCAATACGTAATATACAAGCCTTTATCACCAAAGAAAAGTGAAGCTTCCTATTCTTAGAATGTAACCCCTCAATTTAAATATAACATATTAATATTAAGAATTGGAAATATATGGCAATTATAGGGCTCTGCAGATAAATATCTTATGTTTCATGACAATTGATGTACCCTCAATATACACCAATCCTCCAAATCTTAAACAAATACGTTATTTTATTCATGACACATATGCATTAACGTGAGTAAAAACAAAATGAAGTTCGTGTCATATTGTAACGGTAATATGCATATTGTATTTTTACTTTCTCGCACTTACTTCGTAAGAATAGAAAGTGCTCCGGAAAACGGTAAATTTGCGTCAGAAAAATTTTATTCTCAGGACCTATTACTGAAAAGAGGATAAATCCTGTTCCTATATATAATAAATTACTTTCTCTAACACGTAGTGTACACAGAATCCAGGTTTGTTGGGTCCTTTATACCGAAAAATCGATTGAGGGCAAAACATCCGTCTGTCAGACTGTCGGCCAGCCTGTCCGTCCATCTGTCCGTCTGTGGTCAACGCATAAAACGTTCAGCAGTTTCTCCAAATTTGATATTCCCCGATTTGAACGAACTCGAGGCGTTCGGAGTTTCAAACGGATATTTTAATTTTTGAGGATACTTTACATGAAGCCTCAACAATTTCAAAATTTTCTGAAAAATGGCACCATACTTTTTGACCAAATTTGGTCCTCAGAAAGCATAAAGGACACTTAAGAGAATGGTGCAAGTGTCATGTTCATTAAATTCCCTAATTTTTCAAAAATTTCAAAAGTGCATTTTTGGGGGGCTTCTTCCTACAACTATAATATTGAAGCTTAGAGATATTTCCTTAATGAAATTTGTTCCTTACAGACAGATCAATTGCAAGGTCGAGTTGGCAATAGAGGGCGATCACGCAATGGAGACTCTTGGGGATCATCAAAGAATGGCCGCGGAGTGCTCCATGTCTGAATTTACGCCAGTCTTTAGATTTCGGAGACGACCCTTCCACGCAGCAAGCATATCTGCTACGGGCAGAAAGAATGGTGGTCCTGGAGACGCTGCAAGAAAGGATGTTCGGGGCACTACATTCAACACATGAAGGAATTGTGTTCACATAGGAGGTGACCCGGTCTGGGAAGGAACTTAGATACTACTCGTATGATTCGAAGGAGCAAGACATGCCAGGGGTTCCGGCACAACTCACCCAGAGCTCCTCTTGCAACATGGCCGACTGTCCGGAGGCCATCGGAGATGTTACATATTGATTGCCTCGAGCCTGTTGAAAGTCAGGTGTTTGTGATCGTGGTGGATGCTCATTCAAGGTCATCGGCAAACCAGTGTAATCGATGGAAACAGAAACCCTGGTCAACTGTTCCAGGGACGTGTTTGCGGACTTCGGGGTGCCAAAGTGAGTGGTTTGACCTCGTTGGCGTTCTGGAATTTCCTGGTTAAGAATGAGATAAAGCTAATACATTCTTCACCCTTCCAAGCCGCATCAACTGGCTTGGTAATGCGTGACATCCTTACCTTTAAGGGTCACTATACTATGTAGGCCACAGAGGACCACAGAGGGAAAGCGGTCAACTACATTGGCCCGAATTTGTCTTGCGATATGCAGTCTGTAGAGGCCATCAACAGACCTCTAGCGGACATGTTTTACGACAATCGGCGTATGAAGAACCTATGGAATTACTTCACCCAGAAATCACGAGGGAGAAAGAAGATACAGTGAAAACACGGTGATTCGCAACCGGAGACAGAATACTATTCCGGGACCATCGACAACTTAAGTCCCGATGCTCTCGGGAAGGAGTGCTGGAGCGAGATGGCAGGAGAATGTGCTCGCTTAAGGATGAACTGGGATGTGGACACGCGAAACGTGGACGAGGTGCTACATAGACATGAGGACGAGGATGAAGTTCCTTCCCAGCTTCAACCACCATTCCAACTCTGTGGAGACACATATGTGGAGGAAGTTAGGAAAGACTGGACAGAGGGACACCAGATAACATACTACGTCGGCGTCGATGGCGTGACGGTTAGCGTATCGGTCTGTTATACCCAAATTGGCGGGTTGAAACCCAATCGAAGCCGTGGATTTTTAAGGGCGAAAAAATCCTTCGTACGCCTTTCTTCGGAGGGGAAGTAAAGCCGGCTGTCCCATGTTAGTAGATTTACATGCATGTAAAAGATACTCAAGCTAAATGACGCCTCTGAGCTAAATTCAAATCGCCTGTTTCGTCGCCCAAGAAATACCTCATTTCTTCACTAGTGGGTGAAAGGAGCGTAGCGAAATTTGCATGGTCAGACGAAAGAGCGGGCCTGATGGCCCGAATCTCGCCACGTAAAATAAGGGATAATCAATTCAATTCAATTCACTACAGAACAGCCCAGAGCGTTTCAAGGATCAAGAGAACAGTCCGAGGCAACCAGAAACTCCAGATCGAGGGGTATGGGAAGCGAGGGATGTCCAAACGAATCCCAAATCCACGAGACCCCAGAGAAGGCGACTGCGAACTAGCTACGTCTCGCTCTAGCTCGTCTCGCTGTAGCGACACTACAGTGTTTTGTGAAGTGAAGTGGCGAAGGAGGGTATGTGGCTAGCGATGTGTGAAACGGGGGTTGTGTAGTTACTGTACGAAGAGTGTAATGTATGTAGGCATATAGGCGTATGGTATTATGTATGAATAAGTATATAGTACAATAAAACGTGCTCAATGCGGAATGTCGAGGGACCAGAATTATTTCTGTATTAGACAAGATTGCACATTATGCCATGTAATACTACTGCGGAATTTACGTTTGCGGGACCGCAATTTGTGTTCACGTTAGCGAGATTTCCGTATTATACATGTTCGGCATTGAACAAGTTTTATTGTATACAATCATAATGTTGAGTTTAGTGTAGTAACTAGCAATAATGACGCGAGCTAGAGATGGGGGAAAGAGGGATTGGGAAATGTGTTCCAGTGAGTGCGCCGACTGATGGTAAAGAGGCGCCACTGGTTGGTAAAATCCAGACAAGGTGGCAGGTTGACCCGCAGTGAGAAGAAACTTTCAACATTGTGGCAATAATAACCACCCTTATTAACTTCCTGAAGTAAATTATTCTTTATTGTGTGAAAAATGTTCGATAATCATGATTTCACATACCATGTTTTTTCTGTTTAGTCGCAGCCGGCACAGGCCTGGGAGCGATCTGGAAGAGCAGTGTAAAAGGGTAGTTGTCTTGGGTGCTGGCTACGTGTGTGCACCTGTTGTTGAGTATTTGAACAACGAGAAGAACATTCAATTGACCGTTGGTAGGAAATTCTTTAAATAAAAACATTTTAACTACACTGGGTGTAAAGCGTAAACGAGAGATTTTTCTGAACATAGATTCTCTATTCTAACTCCTCATCACAAAAAAATATTCATCCTCTAGGCGCTAACTCATCTCCACCCGGCTAGTTAGAAAGGCCGGGACACGTTCACGTTCTAATCTGTATGTGTCATTCTAGTGAGCCTGGGAATGAGTGGGTAAAAAGCCCACACCAAAAAAATATATTCATTACAAAATAGTAATTTAATTTTTAAATTAGCAAATGATAGGATGGTTGAATCAACAAAGTGTTATCAAGGCCTGAGTTTGGCTCTCTTTCATTACATGAATATAATACACAGGACATATTAAAATTTCACCAGGCGCGGTCGGATTTCGTACTTAAGGGCTGCATCTTCCTTTGTAATATAAATGTTTGGCAAATATGATATATAACAAAACGTTTGGCTTATGCTGTTTCTAAAAAAACAGAAACTTGTTTATCCAACACGTATGTTAACAGTGAAAGCTTTTAAATCATTAATTGCAATGTTGTAATAGTAATTACAAGAAGTAACATTTTACGATTTAAATGTATTACTGATTAGTTGCAATGGTATACTCGATTAATTTTATGATACCAATAATGTTTTTTTTCTTTATGGGATACTGTCCTCAAGATATGTTGAGGTCCTTGAAAAATAATTTTGTCAACACATTTAATACGAAATGAAACGTAATTTCCAGATCATCATTGGTAATAATGATGATGATGTACATACATTTTGCACATACATTTGTTTATCTAGAATGTTGTTCTCTAAAATCTCTCTCTCTCTCTCTCTCTCTCTCTCTCTCTCTCTCTCTCTCTCTCTCTCTCTCTCTCTCTCATGAGTCATACATGACAATTTTTCTGTATTATAGTGGCCTCTACGTTTATAATGAATGAGGTATATCAGAACAGTTAGATATGACTTAAAATTTGTCCTTATGGCGTAAAGTCACAATCAATTCCATGTACTTCTTATAAGTTGAAATGTGAATCGCAATGCTTTAAATTCCTCTCAGACCAGCAAACATCCAATCATATGGAAGAAATAAGTGCCCTTGAATTGGAAAATACGGTTCAATGTTTCTATGAGGCGTATCTATGTATTGAGATGTCCATGGTCAGGATAGTATTTTGTGCCCCTGCCAGATATAAACAAATGGTACAACAAATGAGTGTTGTTGTTATTGTTTTAGCGGGTATACTCTGAATAGCGCCCCCCTGGGTGGCGCCTGTGGCACGTTCCCTGTCACCCATACCGTAGACACGCATATGATGTTTTCACATTTCCTCGTCGAAGGGCTGATATGACCCTCAACCATGACTTCCACATCAAGCAGCTTTGAGGAGGACGACATTGGGCATAGATACAGTCTGGATAGAATAGACCAGTTGTCTGAACTCATAATTTTGCGACTAATTTATCGTAACACAATCTGTTACTATCTGTTACAATCTGTTACTATCTATCTGTTACTGTCTTCAAATTACACGTTACACGTTCAAAACAATCAGTTGTTCAAACTTCAAAGGGAAAAACTTCTCGAGTTTTAGAGCAGAAACCACACAAGTCACTAATTAATGTTTTATCTACAATCCTTGTGCATGTGATCTTCAAAAATGACCTGCAGAATTGCTTCAAAGAATGTAAATACGTATAGAGATTGCAATTCATGACTGCACTACAATCATAATCACCATTCTACTTCTATAATTAATCAAATTATAAATTAATAAATCAATTCTACAATTATATTATGTTTACATTTTTGTATCGCAAGTTTATACAAATACTTTAAAAAATATTAGTTCCTACTTTATACATCCATTTTCCATCACGAAATCACAGAGGCCTGTTGTTATACCAAATTCAGGAACGCTGAATACGCTTTAAATTTAAGACGCCCATGGCAGCATATTGGGAGCCCTTTGGGACTGTACTTTTTGTAAGTCAGAGGAATAATAGTGTTTTTAAATCCAGATATGTTTCAATATATGTACTTCTCACATTTTTCTGCACATGAATACGTTTGCACAGAATATGTATCATTAAGATTGTTTTAGAGGGAAACTATGAACATTTATTTTAAATGCGTGAAACGAGGGTTATCATTAAGTTGCCTCCACCCCTTCAATTTAAAGCGTCTATATCGACTCTTGCATTTGAAATTTGATGATGCCTTACTATTTTCAGCTTCAGCGTTGAAAGATGAAGCTGATGCAATTGCTAGTCACTATCCTGCAGTAGAACCAGTACTGTTGGATGTGTTAGAAAGAAAAGACACTCTACAGGAAGTTGTATCTTCTGCTGATGTCGTCATCTCGTTGCTACCTTATAATTTACATCACATAGTGGCGGAATGTTGCATAAATACAGGGGTTCATATGGTTACTGCGTCATATTGCACAGCCCAGATGAAAGACTTGCACGAACGGTAAGTTATGTGAATTGTGTACGTAATTCTTTCCAATATATTATAGTTGTTATTTGTTAAATTATAATAACTGAATGTAATATTCTGTTACATATAGAGCTGTACAAGCTGGTGTTACAGTTGTCAATGAAGTTGGTCTTGATCCAGGAATTGACCACCTTTTAGCAATGGAGTGTTTTGATGAAGTTCATCAGGCAGGAGGGAAAGTTGAATCATTTATTTCATATTGCGGAGGTATGTTCATTAGAAAGTGTATATAATTCGATATCAACTTTCAATGCATCATCAGTCGTAAAATTGTGGCTCTCACTACTCAGAAATGGTTTCCTTTGCGAATGATGGAACTATTTCTATCCTCAATTCAGACTTTTCCTCAAAAGTCTTTACAGCTTTGAAGGCTTCTTATATGAAACAATTTTATTCTATCCACATTTGTGGAATGTTAGAGCTGTATAACGGAAAGAGGACATAATAACCGTAATTGAATAAATAAGCATAGAGTGGAACGTTCCGTCGAGTTTCAACCCTAAATCACGAAAAAATATTGTAAATCTGAAAATAGTTATATGATATACTCTTTATTCTGAAGAGTATGGTCACTCAAAGTCTGCTTAACGCGTAATTAATTTTTGTTTCTGCAAGAAGGACGTAACTTCAACTTTTTCCTCAAAATAATCAAAACTAATGGTAATGCAACACATACTTTCGCGCATTATTTGTACCGGCTTTGCAATATTATAACTAGGAATGGATTTCTATGTAAATATATATTTACTAAATATACTAATATCGATGCTAATTTGCAATATTTTTGTTTCACAATGCGAGTAGTTGCAAAATGCTACTTTTATTTTCCATGTTTTTCCATATTAAGGAGTTTGGAACTTATTCGAATAATAGCCCATACATTTTCCATATTTTTTTATAAAATCAGTCCGTATAGCATATTAAGCTTAACAGTGAAATTTCTGTATGTACTAAAAATGCATCTCAACAAAAACAGCTTAAAAAATTCAATATTTCCTTAAACATTAGAGTTTTTAATTAGGGAGAATTGAGAACGGGAAAGCAAGAAAAGAAACTTAATTTTTTAATTTATGTGAAGAATAGATCCACTGTCCGGCCCCGAGGCCCTGTCTGATGGAACTGAGTGTCACGCGCGGTTAAAGGGGGGCACGACGAGGTGATGAACTATTGGATTTGTTTGACAGCTGACCTTGAGACCTCTATGGTCTGTGGGAAACCTCGTTTCGCTATCTACACCACCCCTTCTCCTTCTCTCTGAAGCTGCCACCCGGAAATTGCATGCCATCACAGAGACTTGGACATCAGAATTATCTTGTACAACTCCTCATTATCAGTTATAATCCAGTCAGGATACTACGTATATGTTTGCTCAGTTCTAGTAATCTCTCTATTAAGCCAGTGCAAAATGTCAAAAGTAGCACAGTTACCCAGTGTAAAATTAGAATTTTATTTGAATTTGTTGCGTCCGTATAGACGCAAATCTAACTCCTTAAGGAGCGTTGAGCGCACTATGGAAGTTACATTTCAAAATGGCACTTACGCCATTTTTTAATGGCCTGATGCCCTAACGATGGAAAAAATGGAGGCATTTTCCAAAAAATAGAAATCTCCCAATTTTTGAAAAATCAGGAACTTCAATGAAAATGAGACCCACACTATTTTTATTCGTCCTGTACACTATCTATGGACAAAATTTAATAAGAAAAATTAGAAGCTATTTCTGAGTAACGATTGAAAATATTGAGGATTCCCGTAAATCCCCATACATCAATATCCGTTTCACATTCAGGGGGCCTCGAGTTCCATTAAATTGATAGCGAATATCAATTTTGGATAAAAGAGGCTGAAAGATTTAGGCGCTAACGTTGACCACAGACGGAATGACGAACGGTCAGACATACAGACAAACGGACATACAGACGGACAACAGACCCACAGACAGACGCACCGACGTTTTACCGTCAATCGATTTTTCGGTATCCAGGACACACAAAACAAAATTTATCAATTTTTTGTTTCCAGTACTAGGCATTATGTATTTTTCTGTCGATTAATTGCCGTTTTCTGGCACACGATTATACTTTCCCGTCTTACGAATTAAGAAATTAATTGTATCAATGAAAACATGTATTAGGCGATCTTATGGTTGTTGTTTTTTATCGTTGATGTTTGACTGTGGAATTTTAAGAACCGTTAAAAATCCTGACGTCAAGGTGTTCCAATCAATTACACTTACACTTCTGGAGTTGGTTGGCACGTGAGGTAGGTTGGTATACTACTTCCTTGAGTGTGGAGCAGGTACGTCAAACTGCACTCGCACGAATTATTGAAGAAAATTGGCTGAATGTTTAGGCGCTAGAGTTTCGCAGACGTTTTGCTATGAACCAATTTTTTTTTTACTTTCTCGCCTTTGCTTCATAAGAAGATAAAGTGCCCCGGAAAACAGTGATTTTTCGACCGACAAATTCTTACTGTCCGGCCTTTGTAACGAAAAACTGTCCGCGGATACCTTAAAGAACACTTGAAATAATAATGCAGGTCTGACTTTCGGTAAAATCCCCAATTTTTGGAAATTTCTAAAAGATTTTTGGGCGTCATGCTTACGTCTTACGTGTATTAAGTTTCGAAAATATGAGTAGGGTAATAATTTTGCTTCAAATACAAGAAATATTTTTGTCACAATTTTTGTCAAAATTCTTCTCGTGTGTAGATATAAGTCAAAGGACATAAAAATGGTGTTAGTCTCAATCTGTAACTTTTTGTATATTGTGTTTTATAGTCCATTTTGAACATCGTATTTCATTTCCCACCGAACTTTCTCTCCAGAACTATATATTGTTCTATTTATTTTCAATCATGAACGTTGAAATTTCAATCTACAGGTTTGCCAGCACCTGAATGTTCTGACAATGCCTTAAGATACAAATTTAGTTGGAGCCCAAGAGCTGTTCTCCATAACACTCTTAGTTCTGCAAAGTATATTTATGATGGCCAGGTATGAGGTACAATATTCTTTAAAGAATCAATCATATATAAACACAATAATTCATACAGTTAATTGAATGTAAAAAGAATAATTTATTTTAATTTGATGCAGACTGTAGAAATTCCAGAAGGTGGAGAATTGATGTCAGAAGTTCAAAACCTAGATTTTTTGCCTGGGTTTTCATTGGAAGGATTTCCTAATAGAGATTCCAGTAAATATGCTCAGCTGTATGGGATAACAGAAGCCCGAACAGTTTTAAGAGGAACTTTGCGATTCCAAGGTTTTACTCTTTTTTTAACCATAACATAGTACTATTGCTTTAAGGTCCCAGTAAATGATTTAGTACATTAGAAGTGTTTTGTTTGTTTTAGGTTTTTCAGATACTATTACGGGAATGTTGCTGCTAGGATTAATAGATCCATCTCCTCATCCAATCTTACATCCAAGAGGCCCTGATATTACATGGGTGTGAATTATTTTTTATCAATTCGTTTAAATAATTTTTAAAAAATGTTGTTTTTCAATATGTAATTTTATTTCAGAGGCAATTGATAGGCAACCTGCTTGGACTAATGGATTCTAATATATTTTATGAAAATCTTAAAAGTAAACTGGCAGAGCGCATTGGAGGAACCGGAATGCAAAGAGTCAATGCTTTGGAATCATTAGGTTTACTGAAAGAAGACCCAGTATTGAAACTTAATACGCCCTTGGACACATTAAGTTATTATCTCTCTAAGAAGCTTGCCCTTGGTAAGGCACATAATTGACACATGTGTATTTGGATAATCCTTATAATTTCTTACTCATTAGTATTGATGAGAGTAATTTTTACTACATTTTTAATAAAAAACTATGAATGTATAAAAATGGCAATTTAAGCTCTAACCTCTTGAAATACCTACTGGACTTCAAACTGTTGAATATTACAGTATTCTTGTAGGCAAATGAATATCTCAATTCTTTTATAGATTCAACTGAACGAGACTTGGTCATCTTAAGACACGAGGTTGGAATCCTGTGGCCCGATGGGCGATCAGAGGAACGAGGAATTAACCTGGTCATGTATGGGCAACCTAGAGGTCACTCGGCTATGTCGAAAGCTGTTGGACTTCCTACTGCTATTGCTGCAAAGATGGTCCTGGATGGTAGGTATTTTTCAATGTGCTTGTGTTTTCCTCATTAAGTTTACATTAGTATTAAAGCTTCTATCATACTGCATGGCGTATTATGGGGACAGGTGCAATCTGCTCTGAGATGCAGATTCAGATACAAGATAACAATACTTGTTACAGGCATATGTCTTTTTGAATTATCAAGAATAATTCTAAACTAATACTTTAAACATCATTGATAAAGTCAATATTTTTTTCCTTTTTGATTCTCAGTGTTGTATAGAAACTGTTATTCACTAGAAAATATTTTAATAGTTTAATTTCTTCTGGCTGGGTGTTGTGAAATAATGTGCGTGTAATGTATGTGAATTGTCGGTGGTGAGCTGTTGATACTGACACTTGATGCATATGATTACTAAGTCGAGTGTTATATTCGTAATTATCGATATCTGTATTGTGATAGATAGCTTAAAATGTGTTCCCACCCTTGAGTAAGTCATTTTTTTAAATTAAAATCACTGATTTGTAAATAAAAAAGCAAGGCAATGGTAGAATTCCTAGCTTAATAAAGAGAGGTTTACAAAAATCACTTGGGTAGGATTTGTTTATTTGTAATTTTCGACACTCATTGTCATAAAAAACTGCACCCAGAAGGACGAAGTGGATTGCGATAATTGTTGGCAGGCAGGTAGAGGGTCATCCATACGAAATGATTACACTTTCACATTTGTAGGACCAACACTTATTGCGCTACACGACCACAAACGGTATATTGCGTGGGGCCACCATGTTGGCCAATACACGCGTCCAGACGTCGCGGCATGGAGTTGTGCAGGTCTCGAATGGAGTCCTGTGCTAGTCCATTATATGCAGCTTGCAACTAATTGCGCAGTTCCTGCAGATTATTGGGTATTATTGGGTCCTGATCGCACGCTCCATAGCACCCCAAACATTTTCGATCGGAGAGAGGTCTGGCGATGCGGCTGGCCATGGCAGAGTATCCACAGCATGCTCGGGAGATGGCTGAAGTATGCGGACGCGCGTTGTCGTGTTGAAATAGAACATGGACGTGGACGTTCACGAACGGAAAAGCCGCTGGTTGCAGGATTTCCTGAAATTATTGTGCGGCTGTTGCGGTGACCCCGAGGAACACCAACGGTGAACGGGCGGCATAGGATATCGCGCTTCACACCATCACACCACGCTAGCGGGTCGTGTGATGGGATACCACAAACCGCTCGTCGTGGCGTTCCTTCACTGGGCTTCCTGACACGGCCCTAGCGGTCATCGTCATCAAAACAGAAGCGGGACTCGTCACTGAAGATGACCCGCGGCCAGTCTGTATGGCCCCAGGTCCGTCGTTCCCGACACCAAGCGAATCTTTAGCGCCATTGCTGGGGTGTGAGTGGCAGGCTTCGTAACGGTCGGCAGCGAACCCTGCGTTGTACAACCGCCTGCCAATGGTACTGACACTTATAGGATGTGACAGTACAGGCTGCACAGACCGCTGAATAGCACCTGTCGTTGCCGTTTGATCTGTTCGCGCGTGGCGGACAATCCTCCTCGTGGGTCTGACGACCAGGTCCTGCATGTTTTGTGTATGCCTTTCGCAATTATTCCTTTAACATCAATTGCACATCATTTTCGTTCACTGGAGAGTACAACTGTTCATTTGAAATGGAGAACTGCATATAAACCATTCTTCCTTTGTTTATTATTAATTGGTTATTGTGGAACCGTTTTGAAACATCTGATATTGTGATCGTTACTGTTTCTTTATGCAAAGAATATTCGTATCATCAGCAAATTGAACTATTCTTCCGTTTTGAATCTCCAAGAGCATATCATTTACGTATTGTAGGGGATCTAAAATCGAATCCCCATGGAGTTCCCATAAGCCACTGGCAATGAATCGGAAAGGAGAGTAAAAATTCCCGTACGGTATTTTTACTCACTGAGATCATTTAAAGATACGAGGTAATTTCGAAAGTAAAATATTGTGATCAAGACGTCAAATGCTTTTGAAATATCTAGAAATATTTCAATCGGTGCTTCACTTTGATCTATTGATGAAGCGACATCTTAAGAAAAATATGGCGGTTTCCGTATATTTTTATTTTTTAAATCCATGTTGGCAATCCAAATAGGCTTCGTATTTACTGAGAAATGTTTCCATCGGTATGTAGAAAGGTTTCTCTAACATTTTGGAGAAAACTGTCAAAGAGAAATTGACCGGTAAATGTGCGTCTTATTTTTGTTACCTCTTTTATAGAGCGGTTATTCTCAGTTGTTTCGCACTTCGCGTTATTCCATTATTGAAGTCCACAAAGTGAACATATGTACGAAAATTAACTTTTCGTGCGTTTTTATACGATTTTGTACTTTAAATAACAAGTTTTAGTTGTTTGATATAATGTGAGTGTGAATGGGTCATTGAAACTTTCGGAGGCTCATAATCATCATAATCCGACCCCACTCACTTTTCATTTTTTTGAAGAAAGCACAAATACATCTCTTTAGCACATCTTCGATACCTTCGCATCATGCGCGCCTTTTGTTGAGCTCTTCTTATGCTGGAGAGTACAATTTTAATGGGTGTAGAGCAGAGGATCTGACTAGTTATTCTGTTAGAAATTCTTTAGAATAAAAGCTGTATTCTGTTTACCGACGCAAATAAGTTTTCTGTTCCTCAGGGGCGAATATTTCTAGAATTTAAAAGAAGATAATAACGCTTTATTGATACTTTTATGTATCATTTAAGTATCTAATGGGGAGTACGGATTCTGAAGATTAAGTGCACGTATTGAGATTATATAGGTGCCCCGGAAGGAAACGTCGAAACTTTGAAAATGAGCTCTTAAGCTTATTTTAAGGATATTTTGTCTAATGAACTCCTAGGATATTCCGAATGGCTCAGCCGCAGTAAGTACTCAAAAGTTGGTATGAAAAAATACTTCCTATGCAAAAAATTGCATCTCAGAAACATATAAACAGTCCAGAAAAATGTAAATTGTTTATTAATTACCAAAGGAATTAATACATTTATTCAGAAAGTAAAATTAACCCAGAAATAAAGAAGCACCCAATTTATACAATTCGACTGCTTTTTACTTTCTCACTAACGCGTTAGAAAGTTATGTAATTGGTATCACTACCGCGAGAGAAAGTTACGTAATGCTGCGCGAAAAAATTGCGAATTTCCGTCAGAAAAACTCTTATTTCTGCGCCTTGGTAATGTAAAAATGGATAAATTGGGTTGCTAAATTTAGAAAAAATCCTCTAACACTTGATGTAGCCAGAATCCATGTTTTGTGGGTCCTTGATATTGAAAACTCGATTGACATCTCTCCGTCTGTCTGTGAACAACACTAATGGGTCAATCCATTTTAAGAGGTTCAGAATTTAATAAATTGGTCGCTCGACCATCACGAAAGATTCAAATTTTGTACATAAATTTCCTTATGATTTGGCTGTTCAAAAACCTCTTTAATTTATTTTTATTGTATCGGGTTTACAAATGGTGGCCATTTTGGTTTTACGCCGTGCGCCATTTTTCGCGTTCATAGACATTTACTCTTTTCTAAATTATTCAGTACTGGGTTGCTCTAGTATTCTAGAACAAAAGGCATTTGATTCTATATACTCTGGCCTACAAATTGAAATATTATTTACATACCTTCTATGTTTTTATTTGAGAAATATTTGCAATTCCGCGGCCCAGCTGCTTCTCCCCTCTCCGTGTAGTTATGGTGAATCCCACCCATAGGTTAAGAAGTCCAGTATATACGATGGAGGGATGCCTTTTTGCTAACCACACAAACCCCTTACCTTATGGCCAAGAGGCTGGGCCACCGCTGGTCGGTCATGGCCCCTATCGGACTGTCGATCCCAGAACAGGACAGTTGTGTAATATTTAGGAGGAGGTATTGAATATGTAAATATTACACATGATCCTTCCGCTATCTACCAGAAAGATTCGAAAGTTCGGTTCTTCATTTTTTCTTTAACTTTAATGGCAGGGCATACTCAGTAGTGTTGTTGTTCTCTTTTAGAACTGTTCGCTAAAAAATATACTCACGCAGTTCTCTTAATAAACATATTTTCACTTCGGTTAATGTGTGAGTTATTGAAGATAACCTTATCATTCCTTATTAGAATATTTTTTACTTCACATCCCATGTCCAGAAAATGAATATTTGAACTTAAATCTAATCTTATCTTTATTTTCTTAATATTATCCTTATTTGCAAAAGTGATAATTTATTAATTTGATCTTTATCCACCATATCTTTCCCGGATGCTCCCATGTATCCCGGAGACTATCATGTCATGATACTTTTCAGAATGTATTCTGTGCGTATATATTCAGAATGTATGTATACCGCTTCATCTTTGACCCCATGCTGCTTTTAAATACAGAACCACTAAAAGTCTAATGTAGGAAATATGTGTATATCGCAATTCAAATGTATGTGTTGTTGAGTATTTGAATTATGTACTTTAATTATCTAATTGTTATAAATTATTTTTATTACTCGAATACATTCTTATCTCTTACACTTGTTTTATTTCATTTTCTAGGAGAAATTCAGCAAAAGGGAATGGTTTTACCTTTCACTCCAGATATTTATCGACCTATGCTTTCGCGACTTCGAGCAGAAGGAGTACAAGCAGTGGAGAACTCCAAATGGAATTAAATACTACATAATGTACTTTACAGATACTATTAAATTGACGTAATTACCAATAAAGTTATAAATATTAATAAAACACAAGAATTGTTACATTATCTCCAAGAAAACTTGCTCTCTCTTTTTGACTAGAAAAATGTTTTAACGCGGATATCGTAAGGTAGACCCCTCCGCGCATTTATCCTTCAGCATCAGTGGCTGATAGAGGGATTGGGCATGCCCCCCCCTCATCACATACATACACCACCCGCACCACCGAAAGGCCTAGAGTTTTCGTCTGTTTCGGCCCTTTATTTGGCAATATTGACTGAAATATTTATTTTGGAATTAGGTAATTATTTAAAAAATAATATTGTATAGCAAGCTACAAAAATAACAAGCAACAAATATGTTTATTAGTTAACAAAAATATATAACGGTTCCCCCAAAATGGTCGGCTAGATCCGTCCCTGTTCAGCATATTATTGTTGTTATTAAAGAGCAGATAATTTATAAACAGTCGCGGCTGGACAGGTGAAATCAGAGATGTACCACTTCACCTACAAGATACCCAAGTAAATGTGTCAAATTATAATTCATTAAACTGATGAAACTTACAAATAACTACTGCTTTCAAACCTCTGCGTCTAGCATCCCCGTTTTCTTTCGACGATTCTCCTACGCTCGCGTCATGGTGGCCATGCAGCGAATTTTCTGGAAAATAACTGAAAATTGTTTTTTGTATTTTTGCTCAAACAGAAGAAAGTGCATTTATATGCCGGATTCCTATTTTCATTAAAACCTCCCGACATTCAGGAAATTGCAAAAATCTTTATATTTAAAACACTTAATGAGTTTTTATTTAGAAAGTAGTTTCTACTCAACCAAATTTCCTGATTATTGCTTGAAAATCACCGATTCCCAACTTTTTTTGTACATCGGCCCCTTTTAAAGGAATTATTGGCACCTCAATCTTGTTCCGTTATTCTGTATATCATACGTAATCATTACACAAAGAATTGCACGTAAATGTCTTAAATATTACAATTTCGTACACCAGCATTTTCGTAAATATCTAGCTGTTCAATAATCGAAAATCGAAGAGGCTTGCACTTCTGAGTTTCTAATTTTCATTGTTGCGAAATGGTAACAAAATGTTAAGCGGCTATAACATTTCTCCAATGCGTTTTGCAGGGAGTATTTTCTTCTGCGATAGAATGTTGTAACCAATACACAGATATCATTAGTTCGGTTTTCTAACCATGCTAAACAATTGCGTACTTACTGTAGCATTTCGGTTGCTCCGGTGCAGAAAGTCAAAACGGGGCCCTTATCTCCAATAAATGTGAAATTAAGAGATTTAAATCTAATTGGTAAGAACTCTAATAAGGCTGGAGGACCTATGATAGGGTTAATGCATTGGAGAAAATAAACGTGGAGTGGAGTTTGATTTATTATTTGCCGATATCCATCCGCGAACGCGGGGTCCTTATTAAGGGCCCCTTCATTCGGAGGAGCGGTGTGGTGCACGAGACTGGCTACACCCCTGATCCCAAGGCTGAACGACGGGTGCGAAAGAAGAGGAGCGAATTTGTAATTATTTAGTTGCCATCTATCAGAAAACAATTAATTATCGAGTTCGTTATATATTATCGACCCCCTTCATCATTGACCTTCAAAGTTCCATCAACTCGCAGTGAGCTATTATTAACTGGATTTATAGTATAAAGACTAAATTTTAATAATAATAATAATAATAATAATAATAATAATAATAATAATTTGTTCAAAGCGTCTTTTGTTGGTCTTCTGTGAGAAGTGTGTGCGAAGAGACAGCGAATATTTCAAGTTCGGAGATGGACTGTTTTCAAATGCAAAGATTAGTGGTTTTAGGGGTTATTTTTTAAAATTTAGGTGAACCGCAGGATTTCTTCGCCTTAATTCCCTACAAATACGTTTCAATTTTCAGAAACATGTTCTACTCTGTGTTTACAGAGAATACAGGTTTTATTGTTCCAGAATTTGTTAACCTCCCTCATTTCGAGAATTAATACTGAACGACATGAAACTTCCATTTTCAATCCCAAACGTACCAAATTTTTGGCGTGCATCCATGCTGTTCGAAATTTTAAGACTTGGTCCAACTATTATTTAACCATACTGATTTCTATGGCTTGGATATTTCCTGCATAACTTCAATTGCAGTCTTTAATGATGTTGCGCACTTTCTGAAAAAGTCTCGAATAATTGACGAGTGAAAGCACTTAGACGAGGAAATGTTCCCAGTACTTTTTTATTCCGGCTAACTCGACACAAATGTCTCTGAGATTACACGTGTGTCCGCTGTGTTTCAAATCTTCGATACTTTTTGTTGATTTTGTAGGTAAGTGGGGAATGGGTTCTACGGCGATATGTGGCCTATCGCTTAAGGATGGGAATTGGGACAGGATGTGGAAGGAAGTGTCGGTCCGTGCCCAGTTTTCTAACGCGCTGTTTTGGGGGTTCGCCTGGAAGCCATCAGAGCATTGATCTGCACAGTTAGACTACGAATTCGCGACCTACCCATCACCGGTAAGACTGAGCCGATTAGAGTCACTTTAATCCTCACCGCTATCGGCATTGTATTAAAAATTTGGGATAAGGAAGGATTATAATCAATAGGAAATAAACTAATTTGAAACAATCTACTAATATGTTTAATGAAAAATATTTATTTACCACTCAAATTTACAATAAATATTATGCACTACTTTTAACTTTACAGTCCACAGTTTCAGATTTCTCTTGTTTTAAAGGTTTGTTTATATTTTCCATGTAAGCTTTACGATGAGAAATTGGTAAATGCTTTTGTCTAATAAAATATACATCATTTCCTGTGGCAGTGTATGATTTCTCTCCTTTTGAACCCATTAATTCTCGAAGGCAAATGTTTCTCTCAAGAAGTTTTGAGTATGCTTCCAGCCCTCCTTTAACATACTCTTCACCTAAAGAACTTGCTATTTTGTCTGCTTCTAATTCAATTTGAATTGTAGTAAAATCATGCAAAAATACCCACAGTCCAAGACCAAAGAAACTAAAAATAACATAAAGAAGTCCACCAAGCCTAGGTGGTCTCTCTAGTAACTTTAACTTCTTGTTGAACTGATGTGCTAGGGCGGAAACAATAACACCAGTAGTTAATGGAAAAATAGTTTTAAAAAAAATTGAAGGTGAATGAACCGAGGCAATTTCACGAGCAATCAAAAATTTCTTGGCCTCTTCACTTAAAATTAAACTTTCTTTAAAACTTTCACCACAGCTGGAAAACCAATTTACTGGTTGATTCTGAACCTGTGAAAAATAATATGCAAGATTAATGCTATTTATCAAGTAAAGGATACAGAAATATTTATACCGCAAAAAATGCGATAAAATAAATATTGAGACACATTGAATGAAATCAAGAACTCAAATTTTTAATATTTCTCCTCTGCGTTTTTGCAGTTTTGAACAGGCCAGTGAGAGTTCTGGGCTTCCCAAGAATAAAAAGCAAGCCTACTTCTTAAGTGAAGTAACACTCCAGTGAATATTCCTTAAAAAAAAAAAAAGATGATGACGACGATGATGACAAAGATTTTAGGACACTTCAACATTGACACCCATGTTAAATTATCGCAAGAACATACATGCACTGTGACAGGGCAAAGCTGAAACATTTTAGAATGTGTCTGATCTCCTAGCACTTAGCCCTACCCCCACCAAGATAAGGAAGTCCAAGATTTTATAGAGTCCTTGGTTCTCATGAGCTTAAAATCAGTTTTCTGGGACTCCGTTTGCCAAGGATTGAATACAGAATGTTTGATAAACATTATTGTCGTATGTTGGATATTCATTAAGGAGTGAAAAAAATAAAGGAGATGAATTCAATAGCACTTTTGGAATTTCCGCACACCACTACTTCATGCAATAATGCCATTTTAGTGAAATCTAGTGCCTCCAATAACACACATTTCTTTGTAATTATACACTTCACAAAGTCTATTCAGAAGCTGCATGTGGCACCATGCCAATTGAAAGTACATCCTATTTTGCCATTTTGGGAAGGACCATCAGAGTTGATGAAGATGGCCAGAATACACAGATTTTGATCCTCTGGAATTGCCTCAGAATTTCCTAAGAGCTATTGTTTATTTTTGGGAGGTTGGAAAATCCCAGGTCTATAATGGACCAAAGAAGCACAATGACAGGATTTTACAGAGATGGGCAGTTTGAAGACAAGCTTTTCCAAAATAGTGAAGAAACTGATATCTGGGGAAGGGGGAAGGATTGTCCGAGTTATGTCTGGTGACTTGGGAAAAGGGCTGCTAGACAGGAAGGAGTATCTATAACTGACAATTTTGCACTGATCAAAATATCTTGTCTTTGGATCAGAGATGGTTTTCCAGCTTCTGTCAAGAGGCATTATATGCAATTCATGCAGAAGGTGCCCATGCTGATATGCAGGCATTAATTTCTGGCAGAACGTGACGGAACAGTGTTCCAGAACCTCGGGAATAATTATTAAATTATATTATAAATAATATCACTATTTATATTAAATTAATAATTAATTTGGAGTACGTTCCGTGACCTACAATTTTACAAATCAAGCACTGATAAAATATATATATATATATATATATATA